TGCATTGATTCACTTTTCATGTGTCCATTTCCTTTCGTCACTTTCCTTTCTTTTACTCTTTGCAAACCCCTGAACAATGAAACATTTTTTTCTAACATAATCTGTTGATTACTGGTTGAGTTTCACAGCTCTATGGGTCAAAGACCATTTTATTGAATACGTTGTTAAATATACGTCAAGTTACGTTGACTCGACTGACAAGTACAATCAGGGCAAACTGAATTTACATGGCAGCTGAAGTGGGAATGAAGGGGGTTATACGTGGAAGCTCTTTTCCCACCCCTCTCCACACTGGACTACAAAGTTTTAACCAGGGATAAAAGTATTTCCCATGGCGTTACATTCCGATAGTAAGCCGCCGCCGCCGGAAATAAGTCTTCCCCCAAACGTCAGGCGTAAAATCCTTCCAGTAGTAACCCTCGCCATGAGTTTATAGCTAAAGCTTGTGAAAATAATTCTTCCAGTTATACGCCACTATTGCCCGAGCGTCCTTTTTTGCATTTTATGTCTTTATAGTGTGCTAAGAGCTCTGTAATCGGTGCCTTCAAGGACTGTACGACTTTTTGTGGGTTTGGGGTTTACCATAATGGAGCCTTTTCGAAAGTTTCTGCCAAGTTTTAATTCTCTTGTATGCATTTAAACCAGCCTCTCTAACCTCGTTTGACAGTAAAATTCTGTTGAATAATCAACTTAAGCACGAGGTTAGTAAGGTTGATTTTAATACTTACAAAAGCATTATTTTATAATTGGCATCCACCGTATGAGAAGTGTCTATGTAGTATTATGGTATGCACTTAAAAATTTTCACTCGCAGTCATCCCTTCCAAATATAAACCATACATTTTTTGAAACGCAAAATTCCTTCCAACAATAAGCCCGGCTACTTCCCAATAGGGATCTAGATGGGGTTTACTGACAAAGTCTGACACTAACACTTCCCATCCAGACCCTCCCCTCCGTTAACCCCGACAATAAGCCCTCTTGAAAATCAATCTACTAAAACCCTTTTGCACCGAGTTAGCCGAAGTTCTGTTATCGAAATGATATATAATCAGAAGCTTATCAGGTGATAAGCTTCAGATATAATCTATAGAACGGTTTTCTATCGAGTGTTGTAAAATCAGAACCAAAGTAATCAACCCCGCCAATCACAAAGGACACAGACAATCTAATGAACCAATCAAAACCCGAATTAAATGCATGCCAGACATGTGGTTGGTGCTAAGCGCGGGAAAACGTGTGCAAGCGAGTTCCGACTGGGTTTGGTTTTACTTGATTGGATGAAAAAATGGCGAGTCTTTTTAGCCAATCATGTACCTTAGTAAAGCAAACCAATCTGGGTAAAACCGCTCTACACTAAGACCCTGATTTCATTGTATTTCAGGCAACAACTGCAGAATCAGGGAGGCTGAAAGTGAGGAAAGGCACTCCAGCTTCCTGGACAAGTTAACCTGGGGATCATTTGGCAAACTCATGGCCTTAACAATCACGTTTGCAATCTGCTCTGCACTAACCGTGCACAAGTGTAATGTAGACTACCGTTGGAGCAGTTTAGCAAATCTGTTTTTCAGCATCAGAGATCTCAGCAAGAGACAGATGCCGGGATTGTACCTTTTATATTTTTGTCGACGGTAAAGTGTCATTACGCGTGGCAAGTGTGTTCGTGTTCAACTGAGGTACGTTATGGCTGAAACCGCATGTGAACAATGGAATATAGTTTAATTAAGTTTTTAATACTAAGCAATGCCTTAATAGTCTGGGAAATTGCAAAACAAGCGATAAAATCGAAGTTAGAATTGCATATACATTCTACATGCTGGTCACTATTTTCAGTGAATTTAGAAGGAATTTCCATTCCGTACGGTAGTAGTGATAACTTTCAGTTAGCCGAAAGAAGACTGTTTCTAGCGTATATAGAAAGCAACTCTACCTGAGACTGACAACTACCTCAGTTACAATACCAAGGGGGACATATATTAACCTTTCAAAATTACCTATTAATATTGTTTTCATTACTTATAAACGTATACATATAATTCTTTCCACTGTACTTTGTATGTTCTAGTGGAACGCTAAAGCGAAAGTACCTGCAAACCCAATTATCATAGTAGTTAACCAGTCCGAACACCAAGTGAAACGGGCAAGAGACGAATGCGCCGCGGGTAAAGGTGCTTGAGCTAAGCAACGATGACATTTAAGCTTGAAAACTGATTGGCTGAGAAAACCAATTTTTGCTCAGATTGGTTAGAACACGTACATCAAATGACTTTCTTGAGCCAAATGTCAAGGTACTATTAGATTCCACAGTCTTCATGGATTCGGCTTTACCATTTTAATTTGAAACGACTACACTCGCCAACAGGCTTCTTCAAGCCAGATCGAGTCACAATCTGAATAACGAATTCCACAGAGGAGCAACCTTTCGAAACGGGCATTTGACAAACTCTGTACGCCTCCACAAAAGCCCGGCCTAAAAATACATTGGAGTCATCTGTCAGTCTAAAGATATTGTAGTGCGCAGGCTCGTCAAACTGCCCATCGCTGATTGGACAGTGCCACATGAGAGTGAGGCTCAAGAGGTGTTTCTCGTCTGTGGACTTCCACTGAATATCCAGACACCTTATGTTTCGTACCACGGCTAGCGGTTGCTTGAAAACTTGAGGATCAAGAATCTAGAGAAAAGTAAAATAAAGGAGACTAAGGTCTAGGGCAAACGTCGAATCTTAGTCGAATTTANAAACTCTATAACTTACCAGGAGAAACAGAACAAACAAGCCGGACCTCCTGCACCCTGCAGCCAATCAAATGCTTCCCAGCAACCAGATAATATCTGAGGAAACAAATTATGAAATGAAAATCATATTATGTGCCTAGTGCACAATGAAGGTGAAGAAGACGATGATAATGTTAACTGCACTCTGACTGTGGTTACGGTTTGAGTGTTTTTTCATGTGGTTACAATGGTAAACAGGGACATCTTCTATCCACGCAACTCCTGTAAACGAGGTACGTCACAATTTAGGTAGGTCAAAAGACCAAACCGCCAAGGCAACACCTAAAGAGAAAACACCCGATTTTCCTAAACCGCCTTCAAAAAAGCCCACTTCTTTCGAACTCACTCAGAAATATTTAACGGATCAAACAATGCCGACGAAAAAAACCCTCAAAAGTAACTTTGGAAGTGTCTTCAGAAATTCTCGTCTACGGAGAGGTTGTGGTAAAACGTAATGGCCCTTATGACATCACACAGGAAATAGTACACTTATTAACACCCTCCCATGCAGCCTCTCACAGCGAGCGTGGATCATGTTACTTAGCAACCAAACTGACCAAACTGAACTAACCCCGAGGACTCGGCTATTCTTAAAGAAGGATTTCAAAACAAACGCCCGCCGTTTCTACGATCGTCTGGTGTCAATTCCTTGCTAGGAACACAAAATTTGATGCTAGTAACAATACATGCCGTGTACACCACAAAGAAGCCTCCTCTTCTTTCTCCTTGCCCTTCACTCTCAATCCGTGAGCCTGCTGTATTGAGTCGTGGAAAGCACCGGTCAGAGGTTCAAACAATTCGTAGTGCTCTTGACCAATAGGAGACATGAACGCTGATGACGTCAACGTCCGGGACTTCGGAACGCCATAACGACGAATCAACTTTTCATTTAGCTCGGCATCCTCTTTGTTACTAGCAGCTAGAATGTAAACATACGACATAATGAGAGAAAACAGTAAGGCATTAAATTTGTCTTGTATAGATACCTTAAAAGCTCCACTGAGTTCCTTTACCCATCTTTTTGCTCTTACTTTGCTTTTTTAAAAATGTCTTGCTGCAACATAATTCCTTGAACAAATCATAGCTAATGGGGAATTTTTCGCACTGCATTTCTTACAGTTTGATCAAGCCTGACGCTCGGTGACAGAGTTCCCTCAAGGAGCCAATTCACGACATAAATTAAGTCATTTTAGCAACGTTCAAAATTATACCTCCAAATCAGAATAACAACAATCGAGGTATTTAGCTGCATTTTCAACTTGAAGTTGATAAAGGTAAATTAACCACTTTCGATCGTTAGCCCTTTGTCAGAGCAAGGTGTAGTAGTTTACTAAGAGTTTACTAAGCTAGAAGAAGAACACAACTGAGGTGATAATAAACAAAACAGGAAATGTATGGTTAAAATTGGCAGAGATTAAGACGGATTACGATTGGTCTAGTTCCCTATAGATGTGCCATTGATATCAAAGCTCCTAGAGCTTATACAGTCCCCCAGGGGTACTCCCTTATTTGGGCTATACAGGTATGTGCGGCCCCAAAGGATATGGTATTTTAGCCGTTTAGGTCAGAAATAGGGTATCGATTTCGGCCATTTTGGTATGGTTTGTGCACTCTGGTCTTGAATTGGATTGAAATAGGATAAGGGTTTCAAGAAACTCGCCGGACACCCCACCCAATTTTTCTGTAAGTACCTCCTTCTCCCCCCACCTCCCAGGATGCAGTCCCACACTTACTTAACAAACTAGTGTACAGAGGAGGGGCACAAGTTCATAATACCTTGATCACGTGGGTTAGCTGGACAAAGCAACAGGTACGTTGGCTTGGTGTTGGTGTGAAGTTGTAAAGCCACGTCCATGCAGTCTTTCGGACACAACTTGAATGTGAATGACACCAGAACAGGATCTGTTATCAGGAAATCTGTTTTGAACAGCCTGGAAAAATATTAAGGAACAAACGAACAGTTACATTAACTGTCGAAAGAAATTCTAACCTGCAGCGACTGCTTCAGTGTCAACTTTGCTTAGTCCTGTGATTGGTAGCCTGCAGTCCAGGTGTTTTTGTAGGGAGAACGTTCAATGATCAGAATTTTGATTCTGTTATAACTGTACATGTATTTGACCTTGCAGTTGCAAAATGTCCACGGTTAAGATAATACAACGTCATTCAGCCTCACTACTACTCCCCAGGTTGCTTTTTCTCTCACTATCGCTGAGCCTCCACTGTTTTCTGTGGAGTTCGCCAAGTCAAATCACAAATGCGTCTAATATGCGTCCTCACACTTTAAACTCGACTTAGCCACTTAAGCTAGGAGACTAACAAGTTCCAGGTCCTCGAGTATAAACAGAGTATGCATGTGTGTAAGCTACCTAACTGGTCCAAAAGTCTTCATATGTAAGCTAGTTCATGTTACCAATTAAAGCAAAACTTTTTTTCAGCTAAACAAGTACACAATCATAACCAATCACAAATTAAGTCGTCCATGAATAATCCTTGTTTCACACCCATCTTGAGTGCGAAGAGATGGTTAACAACAACAACAATTAATTTCTTTACCTCACCACACCCCTTGACATCTCTTGTGAGGGGCTGACACGGCCAGTAATCAGCTGGCAGCCGCCGCCGTTATAGGCATCTTCCACGGTGAACTCCACAGCGCTGATTATCAAGCCTCCCTTGGTGCCCAGATTAAAGAATGTGTTGTTGAATGTGGGCTGATACTGTTGGGCACTGAGATTTGTCCAGGGATGGCACAGTACAACCTTGTGAACAATGAAGGAGGAAATGAGATGATGTAGAAAGGGATGGGAGAGTACAATCTTGAGAACAATGAAGGAGGAGGTGAGATAATGTAGAAAGGGATGGGAGAGTACAACCTTGTGAACAATGAAGGAGGAAGTGAGATGATGTAGAAAGGGATGGGAGAGTACAATCTTGTGAACAATGAAGGAGGAAGTGAGATGATGTAGAAAGGGATGGGAGAGTACAACCTTGTGAACAATGAAGGAGGAAGTGAGATGATGTAGAAAGGGATGGAAGAGTACAATCTTGTGAACAATGAAGGAGGAAGTGAGATGATGTAGAAAGTAAACTTAAAGGATTAAACTCAAAACCTGCCCAGTGATAACAACAAGATTGCCCTGTTCATGAATATCATCTTTACAGTTTCAGTCATAAATAATCTATTGCTTGAGCTGAAAGTCCACTACTAGTGCAACCACTGGATCTGTTCAATCTTCAACTGTAATTTTCAAAATGAAATTTGAGAGTTGTTATCCATAAACTAGATTTCTTTTGGGAGGAAATAAGGCAAGAAAACACTGTAAATTAAGTTCTTCAATTGTCAAACATGAAGTAAAGTGGACACATTTAACCAAAAGAATGTAAACCAATCACCTCTCCGTCAATACTGGCTGTCTTTCCATAACCACGACATGTTGACGTCACAAATGGTATTTTCTTGACTCCAGTGTGCACAGTACAATAGGGAGCCAGAAGGTTCCAAAACCTGTCAGGCAAGGATAAATAAACAACAACAGGACTATAAACCAACCTTATTACTCAGAATGTAGCTAAGTCATGGTTACTGGCTAATTTAATTGGCTGAAAGAGAGCTTTCACCAGTTAAAATTATACTTAGAAAACAAATACTAGGGTCACTAGAAGAACACAAGCTAAGAATGTCAGTGGAGTTTGGTAATGAGCCCACTCATGGAAGGGGGTTGGTGAGTAGGAGCAACCTGGTAGTAAAGCAGGTAGGAACTCTGTGGGAGGTAGGAAAGAAGAGAGAGAGAGTTGAGATTCCCAAGGCATTGGGAATTGGGGGAAATAAGAAAAGATTTCTGCAACATTGCATAAAATTTCCCAACAGGAAAGACACACTCAGGTGGAAACCACTCAGGAATGGGAAACAACTGAGGGTAAAAGATGCAGGAAGCAGGGAATTCAGCATTTTTTAAAACAAAAAAAATTAATTAATAACCTAAGTATTCATTTTCATAGATTTGCTGAGTATGCTCAAGTGGCACAGTCTGTGATGTCGCTCTAAAGATACTGACTAAAAAACCATGGCTGTCAACCGTTTTGAAAGCAATTACAGCATTTTTGTGGAATGTTAGTATACTGTATTCCCTGAGTTGTCAATTCATGAGTGATTTTAACGTGAAAACAAACTTGGTGGAAAATTAGTAGTCTTACTTGTCTTGATTTGCAATGAAATGTTCAGTCCCTTGAGTTTCCATGACCCACCCTGGAGCAAACAGTGCTGCGGATAATTTCTCTTCTCTTATCACTTTAAAAGCCTGCAAGGAACAAACAGTGTGCTTTACTGAATCTTCCATAGGGAAAAAGATGGTGGCTGTACATTTTACTACAACACCATGTGAACCTTAGCCCATAAAGTACAAGGAAAACCATATTTTGGCAATATTTGTCCCTGCGCTAATGACATAGTGCATGCTTGGTTTGAAGAGGTTAGAACTCTTCTGTATGCCTTTATGAGCGTTTCTGTTTTATGCACTAAGAAGTATGGGTAAATGTACCAGTGGCCGTCTTTTTTCCTATGGAGGATAACAAAATGTCACTCAGAGAGATTGGTACAACTCTCCCAACAGACAGGAAATAATTTACTGCCTTGGGCGCAACTACATGCAGCTTGCGAGTTTAATCTCTTCGACAAATATTCTGCACTTCAACTGTAACTTTGATGCTAAACAGTCAAAAACATTTAATAACTGCCCATCAGTAAGCATGTGACAGAAATACCTCACAAACTCTTTAAAACCTAATTTGAAACAGTTTATTTCAGAAACTTAAAACTATAAAAGATTTAATACTAACAGACTTGACAAGGACTTAGCAGTTTTCAAGAGGTTGATACATTTGATATGTTCAAGATGTGGCAGCCTAAACATTCAAAACATGTTGGAGTCCAGATTTCAAGAGCAGTTTGGGATCAAGCCCAGGAGGAAGTCATCTTAAATTGTGTTCTTGAACAAGGCAATCCTCTCTCAAACTTCTTCTCTCCCTCAGAAGTAATGTGATAGGAGGGTGATCCAAGGGTAACATGATAAAAATGTTTGGGAGCCTACTATTGACTGGCATCTCATCCCGAGATTAGCAAATATCCTTGTAATTGCTTTGCATTAAGCAAAACCCAGTGTAAAGCCCCTAACTTTGGTTTTTATATTATGTTTATTAATTTTATAATGAGAAATTACAGAAATATATACTATGTCACCAAAAACATATAACAATGCAAAATGCACCTTGGCCAAGAATGCAACACAAGGACAAATGGCTCAGCTCAAAAGCTTCAATGATTAATTGACCTTAAGTGCAACATGTAAAAATAATCTAGGCCACCATACATGGAACTCTCAAAGTACATGTACCCAACTATTTTCTTTGAGTCACTGCAACCAAACTGAGGGAAAAATATTCACCTCTCATCTGCCAATGGTCCACAGCTACATTGCTAGCGATATAAAGCAGTTCAACCAGGTAGTAAAATGATTTATCTGTGTAGAGAGAATGCCTTACTTACCGCTTTAGAGTTGTACCCTCCTCCTCCAAAGCAACCACGCCCAAAAACATCCACCCCCACATAGACATCAGTAAGGCGGTCTCGTCCAGCGGCACCTGCAGATCGCATCAAGTGTGCCTCAGACCATAAGTAGTTCAAAAATATACCATCGCATGCATCAAAAAATACTCTGTTGACAAATATAAATAAAACAGTTAAGATATTATTTTATAAAATGCTTTTCTAAACTATAACAACAAATCCATTTGTGGACCCTGCCCATCTCTCCTATAAACACTGTTTAGGTACCATAAACACTGTTTATGTCAAGTATTTATAACTACCTGATTATCACAAACCAAGATGAAAATTAAAGAGCTTATGTATGAAAAATCATAGCCTCTGTTTCTATTTTGACTACCTAACTGGATCAAAATGTAACCTAAGATCCATTGCCAGGGAAAGCAGATATCTTCAGGCCCATTATCCATAACTCCTGACAGCAAATACAAGAAATCCAAGATTTCAGCCAAAAAGTTGCCTTGTCCTTCTTTTCTTTTCTTTACAGTAGTCAAGAGGTCCAAAGTTTGCATGTTACACTGTAGTGATGTGATCATAGACTAGCTTTGAGCCACATGTAATATTACTTGTAATCATGTATAGAAATTTCCCATTTCGAACAAATTATAACTGTTACTGTTATTTTAATTATGAGAGAGAGAAATGTTACCGGTTTTGTGCATTAAGTTCATTTTGCCAGGCAAGGTCTCCTTTGTAAGTGATGCTGTCATACCAGATAACAAGGGAGTTAGGAATACGCCGGTGAATCTCTGTTGTCAATCTCTTCACAAATTCCTCTAGATTGTTGACTTGAACAGGCTGCAAGAAAATCATTATAAGGAATTTACCGAACAAAAGTATTGACGACAAACAGGAAAGACAAAGAACCTACATGCTGCATGTTACCAATGGTTAGAGTCCCGGTTTACAAGCTAATAATGATTTCCACAAAATATTTCAACTCAACAATGCCACATCTCAAGAAGCTTTCAACTGATTCCAGAAAGAAGCATAGGTTTGTGAATGAATTTAGTTTTGAAAAAGGTTTAATAAAACCAAACTGTAAACTTATACAGATATTAAGGGTACATTAAACAAAATGTTTTTTGGAGGCCTTTTGTTGTAATTTAAAAATTGAATAGTCAAAATTGTACTTTTTTGATATTCTTGTTAATTTGATCATTGATTCAAGGTTTTGGCCACCTTATGTTACTGCTGCTTATGTTGCTGCTTATTAATGGGGAGCAGTAAAGAGTTAGTTATATAAACTAATGTGGTATGCGACTGCTGGTGCTTAAACGTTAATCTGGTTTCATTAGTGTGAAGTGACAAGTAGTATTGGTAATCCCCAATGACTCAGGGCCAATGAGCACCATGACCTGCGACAAATGTCTCTGGCCAGGACTTGAACCCAGACTGCTCAATCCAGAGTCATGTGCACTAACCATGAGGCCACTGTACTACTCACTGACAATACTATTACATACAATACATAATACAGTTAAGTACCTTCAAGCCACATTTTTGTAAGCGAAGTTATGACCCTAATAATTATAATTTAATTTATGAGCATAAGCAGGTCACTGGATTACTATAGGAATCATATTTTACTAGGACTGCTAAACTGTGGAACTCATTGCCATCCGGTACTAAATCAATTACTGGTAATTCATTCAACGCCTTTAAGACTAATTTACAATATTTATTTATTAAAGCGAGGAACTCATAGTCCTCCAGCCTAGACACTAATAAGGTTTGGTACTTCTACAATACTTAACACATTTATCACATTTTTATTTGCTTGTATTTATTTTTTTCTGTACACATATACTAAGTGTATGTTGAGTGTAGTAAGGGATTAGATCGCAATTGGGATGGTAGTTCTGTTTCTTTCCTCTGTCACATCCAATAATATTTTCAGTTTCTATTTGAAGTTAGTTGTTTGTCTATTTGTATTTATTTGTACTTGTATTTTGGTGACAAACTCATTAAACTAAAATAAAGTACATGTACCTGAATAGGATTCTCTATGTTCAAAAGCCAACCATCAAATCTGTAATACTCAGCTATGTCTACCAGTTGATTAACCATAGTCTCCAATGACGCTTCATCTTCTAAAAACTTACTGCACCTTGCAGCTCCATCATCTGATTCTGTAATGAGAGTTCCCAACACTGGAACACCATGGGTGTGAGCAGAATTGGTCCAACAAGGGGGAGGTATGGTTACAAAATAATGACTGAAGTAAACAAATATGTCAATGAGCTGCCAGTGGTATATCACATAACAGTCGCATGAGCTGACGCCTTGAACAAACCTACAAGAAATAACAATTATCGTAAGCAAGATTGCCACAGCGTATGCAAGATTGTCACAGATATTGCTTTTCAAAATTCCGACTTTTCCCCCATAAAAAAAAAATTTTCCTGACTGATTTTTGACAGTTAATAATATCCAGTAGTGTTTTACGATAGTCATCTATCGACGCTGTTGAGGCTGAGTTGCAAAAATTTAAACTTGCTGATTTCATTTTTCTATAGTTTTGAGTGGCAATTCCTGGTTTCCTTTTGGTCTAGATAAAATCTTCAACCAACTGGTCAGTTTCGTGAAAATACAAACTGTCTGATATTTTAGCCACTTCTCATGTCCCATAACAGCCATCCTGTCTACCAATTCATAAGACTTATAGTTAGTAACAAATTTTCCTCGGGTTCATGGAGGGAAAACAACATTAAGATTTATAGTGACCCCAAAATTAAGGTGTCATCCAGCCTTTGGCAACGCTGATAAGAAGAACTTTAGACATCATTCAGGCAGTGAAAAGCTCTGGGGGAAGGGGGGTACTTTAGGAATTTCTGGGTGGGGATGTGCCACAGGGACCCTCAAACCCTTAGTCTATACCAGAGCTAGTTCAGCTGAATTTTGCTACCCCATACTAGAGTAACCAGTGTTAAAACCACCGATTTCCGTCTGAATCCTGATTTTTGACAGTTAATAATATCCAGTAGTGTTTTATGATAGTCATCTATCGACGCTGTCGAGGCTGAGTTGCNTAGTCTATACCAGAGCTAGTTCAGCTGAATTTTGCTACCCTATACTAGAGTAACCAGTGTTAAAACCACCAATTTCCGTCTGAATCCTGATTTTTGACAGTTAATAACATCCAGTAGTGTTTTATGATAGTCATCTATCGACACTGTCGAGGCTGAGTTGCAAAAATTTAAACTTGCCGATTTTATTTTTCATATTTTTGAATGGCAATTCCTGGTTTCCTTTTGGTCTAGATAAAATCTTCAACTGACTGGTCAGTTTTGTGAAAAATGATACCCTATTCTAGACCCAAATGTTCTGATTTATATACCCTATGCTAGAGTAACCTGCACGAAAACCATACCCTTCACAGTGGCACATACCTTTTCAGCCCATATATGGCAGTACCCTCCCCCCTCCCCTCCCCCCCCCCCCCCTAAAAAGGCTACCAGTTCTTGGTAACTGTCAAGTTTTCCCAAAAGGGGTCTAACCTATAACTTCTGCAAAACATCAGCACACATACTGGAAGGTTCTGACAACAAAGTTGAATAATGGAATTCCCTTGAAGTACTTGGGGTGTATGAAAAAATTGAAATTTCCAGATGGGAGGGGGGGTATATCTTGTGGGTCAATTTGGGAAATTCCAGAGGGGAGGGGGTCATATGAAAATCCCTTCCGTGTCGAGTATGAATATTTTCTGGAACTACACATTGGGGCAGGTATGCTACCATTTGGGGGGGGAGGTTGACTCCCCTATAAAAAGGACAGGGATGCTCATCATTTTGAAAAGAACCCCTTGGAGGTGTGTACCTAGATCCTGTTTCTTGGGTTTGGCTTGAAATTGTTTTCACCCCTAAGTGGTACCAATTCTAAAAACAAGACATTAACATCACTGACAATCATCATTTTTAATTTTCCACTCTTTGCGCTAGCCAGCGCTATAGGGATGAGTGGATGAGTGATAATTTTCAATAGTGATAAAGATGATTGCTTTTAATACCTTTTATTTGTAAAGCTGATTGTCAAGTTTCTCCTGAAATATTTTTTCGGCTCAATACCCTAAAAGGTACTGCAGAAGCTCCCGCTGTGGACGTATCGAGGCTGAACTCCCTAAGAGGTACCAAAAGGTACGATCGGCCCCCCTGTCCATTTTATATGGAGGTCTCCCCCCTCAGATTTATGCCACCATGTTATCAGGGAAAACATAGAAATTGCTCAAAGTCCAAGGATCAATGATCATTTAACAACGGCCTGTACAGACCTGTCCTCGATATATCCTCCCTTCATGTCATGACACACCAGAGTCCGTGGTCTTTTCTCTATCGTCCTGTTTTGCTCTGTCAGAGGAACTGTAGCCACGTTAAAAAAGTCGAAGCCTTGTCTCCACGACAATAGTTCTTCTAATGTCTTAAGAGGTTGACTAACTGGTGCGCCTGTCTCAGGATCAAAACCGCTATTTTCAACTTGAGAAGTACCATTCATTTTACTTGGTCCCTCAAAGAATTTGGTATACTGCACAGAGGGTTCAAAAGCGCCAGTGTCAACAGATTTTTCGGAGTCTCTTTCCTCTTTACTCGTTTCTTCTTCCAAAGCATTCCCATGTTTCATACTAGAATCGGTACTCGCGGCCGCTGCTCCCAGGTCAGCAGAGTTTGAGCCAACTTCCTCGTTGCCAGTAAAATACTTTAGACGAGCTTTGTTTACGTCCTCGGACGCTTGGCTAGTTGCAATTCTCTGTTGGTTAGAATTTCTGGGTTGTAAATACTTCCACAGTACATATATTCCAAATAACACGGCTAAAGCTGTCCAAAACAGAATCAGCAAGGTATCGTCCGCCATCTTTATTTGATTAGGTTCCAGGGCCTACAAGTGCCACGTCTCTAGGACCCAACTCGTTGGATTGAACGCGGCAATCTTATGAGGTGAAAGTCCGCCCGATTCGGGACGCACACCGAGGCGGCAGAAGAATCTTATATTTGATCGTAATTCCAGTCGAATTCACCGCCCAGATGCAGTGCAAATCAATGTTTTTTATTCAAGTCATTTTATGTGATCTAGTCATTCGAGTAGTGATGCACGTCTGCTCTTGCTTCTATTGAAATCCTATGCGCGAGACGAAAGAGTGAGGTCAGAGAGCCTATCACAAGTGTCTCATCTCAACAAACACGTAATGTAACACGATAGAATGATCTGAATCAGGCCTGGACCTCAATAAAAAGATCGATTCACGCCCGGGGGGTACTCCCTTTTATGGGTTATATAGGTATGTGCGGCCCCAAAGGGTATGGATTTCAAAACTTATGTTTAGGGCAACTGTGTCAGCCGCAACGGTCATAAATAGGACATCGAATTTTTGGTCTGGTGATAACAGTAGGAAAGAGAAAATCGCAGGTTTTGGTCATAAAGGGGTTGAGCGTTTTGGGAAGCGGGTCACACACCTCCGCCAAATTTTTCTGGGAGCAACCCCCACCCCCTCCCCTCCGCCCCAGGCCTCCAGCCAACTCAAACCTTTCATGGTCACTTGGTATCGCGTGTTGTCATCTGTCCATTTTGTGGGCTTGTAATGGAAAATTTGCGTGCAGCCATCGTTAGTTTGCCAGGTGTGGTCGTCATTGCTGGGTGAATCCAGTTCAATTCCTCTGCTTTTCCTCAAGCAGTAGGGCGGGTAGCTGACCACCATTTGAGGGCAGGAGCTGGGATAGTCACTAGGAAGGTAAACCCTCAAGGTGTACTGTGTGTTGTTGGTACANCCCCCCCCCCTATCGAGGGATTTGCGCTGCAACCAGCTGCAACTGTGCAGTGAATTTAGCTAGAAATACACTGTATGATCGAATAAGACTCACTTCTCTGCTCCCTGTGGGCTGTGTTAAGGAAATTCTGATTGGATAACCAAAAGGCGAGAAATTGCTGATTCATTTGCTTGATAAATTGTGTGCAATATCGCAAACCTAGGATAAATGTTGTAATTGTTGTAATGCCGCAGCTAATCAACATCTACTTCTCTACTGATTGTGCACAAATTTCAGGGGAGGGAATCGCCCGGTGAAATTCAAACTTGGCGCCGAACATGTACATATAACAATACGATACAATGCAAAAACTTTATTAAGGTCATTCCCAAGTATTGCATTACGCATCCTTACTGCGCATAATTTGTGGCGTCATTAGCGAGCGCTCGTGCACGCGCATATTGAAAACATGGCAGATTTGCCTTGGTATTGAGCTCTGTCAGTTGAAAAATGGCTCTAGCTCACCAACGAGCACGGGCACCCCATTTTTTTTTTCCAGTCATTGTAATCAACTAATCATAAGCTTTGCGTGAGAAAAAACTGATCTAATTTCTATTGCTGAAAATTGAATAAATAAGAAAAATAGCGCCGGATACACTGTGGTCTTTTCTTTGTTGCAGTCGGTAACCTCGTCAAGAAATTTGGTTTAAATATTTAATCAAGGATTTAGCTTTCTGTCTGAATGAAACTTAAAATGCTTATTCGTGTCCGACACAATGCATTGACTGTAGTTTAATGCGTGTTCTTATGAGTCTGGGCTCACAAAGATTTTACAATTACTGGGAATGCGTTCTTATAATAAG